AAAAAATTGATTTTGAAGTATGTGGATTTTTCGTTGATTTTTCACGAAATTCAAAAGTTTTCGTGGAAATTGTTCACGAAAAAATATTTTTTTCGTGGAATTTCGTTGAATTTTTTCACGGAAACTATTTTTTTTTCGTGGACAAAATCAACGAAAAAATAATTTTCGTGAAATTTGAATTGGAAAACCCCACATGTTAACCCTGGAACTCTAGCGGCACCTTAAAGCGACAAAATTTGATTTTTGAAGTTAACATGTGGATTTTTCGTTGATTTTTCACGAAATTCAAAAGTTTTCGTGGAAATTGCGCACGAAAAATACTTGTTCGTGGAATTTCGTGAAAATTTTTCACGAAAACTATTTTTTTCGTGACAAAATCAACGAAACAATAATTTTCGTGAAATTTGAATTTGAAAACCCCACATGTTGGCCCTGGAACTCTAGCGGCACCTTAAAGCGAAAAAATTTGATTTTGAAGTTAACATGTGGATTTTTCGTGGATTCTCGACGAAATTTAAAAGTTTTCGTGGAAATTGCTCACGACAAATATTTTTTTCGTGGAATTTCGTGAAAATTTTTCACGAAAACTATTTTTTTCGTTGACAAAATCAACGAAAAATAATTTTCGTGAAATTTGAATTGGAAAACCCCACATGTTGGACCTGGAACTCTAGCTGCACCTTAAAGCGAAACAAATGTGATTTTGAGGTTAACATGTGGATTTTTCGTTGATATTTCACGAAATTTAGAAGTTTTCGTGGAAATTGTTCACGAAAAATATTTGTTCGTGGAATTTCGTGAAAATGTTTCACGATTTTTTTCGTTGACAAAATCAACGAAACAAATAATTTTCGTGAAATTTGAATTGGAAAACCCCACATGTTGGACCTGGAACTCTGCGACAAAATTTGATTTTTGAAGTTAACATGTGGATTTTTCGTTGATTTTTCACGAAATTCAGAAGTTTTCGTGGAAATTGCTCCAGAAAAATACGTGTTCGTGGAATTTCGTGGAAATTTTTCACGAAAATTATTTTTTTTTCGTGGGCAAAATCAACGAAAAAATAACTTTCGTGAAATTTGAATTGGAAAACCCTACATGTTGGCCCTGGAACTCTAGCGGCACCTTAAAGCGAACAAATTTTATTTTGAAGTTAACATGTGGATTTTTCGTTGATTTCTCACGAAATTCAAAAGTTTCCGTGGCATTTTTTCACGAAAATTGTTTCGTGTACAAAACAATCGAACATTTTTTTGTTAAATTTGAATTGGGGAACCCCACATGCTGGCCCTGGAACTCTAGCGGCACCTTAAAGCGAAAAAAAAAAGATTTTGAAGTTAACATGTGGATCTTTCGTTGTTTTTTTACGAAATGCAAAAGTTGTTGTAAAAAGTTGTCACGAAAACTTCTTTTTCCGTTGGCAAAATCAACGAAAAAAAAATGTTCGTGAAATTTGAATTAGAAAACCCCACATGTTAGGTCTGGAACTCTAGCGGCACCTTAAAGCGAAAAAATTCGATTTTGAAGTTGACATTGGGATGGCTTATGGATTCCTTACGAAATTCTAAAGTTGTCGTTGAAACTTACGATGAAAAGAATTATTTTCGCCGAGACAAATAACAAAAAATATGAAATTTGAATTTGACAACGCCACATGTTGGCCCTGGAACTCTAGCGGCACCTTAAAGCGAAACAATTTGATTTTGAAGTTAACATTGATATGTTTGCGTTGGTTCCTAACGAATTCCACAATTTCATTCGATTATCAAGACATGTTTTCGTGAAATTTGTTTGTTGTTTGTAAATTTTGATTGGGAAACCGCCGGACGTTGTCCCGGGCGTCTGGCGGCGCTTTAAAGCGATAAAACTAATTCTGGAGTTAGCATTTGTAGTTTGCCAATAGATTCTTGGAAATTTCTAACGAAAAAGTTGTGCTCGTGGACAAAATTTACAAAACAATGAAATGTGATGGAAACCCTACATGTTGGCCCTGGAATTCTAACGGCGCCTTGAAGCAAAAAAGGAAGATATGTTGAAGTTAGCGTTGGTATTTTTCCGTTGGTTTGTTCACGAATTTAAATATTTCATAGAATTTCTTCACGCCAAAATGTTCTCTTGTTGACAACGCAAGCAAATATTTTCTTGGTTTAAAAGTTAACGATCATATTATGGTTGGTTCTTGGCGAGATTCAAAAACGCGCAGAAAGTTTCTGCCGACACCACGTGTTGGTCCGGGAATCTTAGCGGCATGTTCAAGCAAAAAACAATGGTTTGGATGTTGGCCATGTTCTCTCTTTGTTACGTAATTTTCGCTACAAATTTGAATGCTTTGTTTCGCGAGCAAATTCGATGCGATATAAACGATTTATGTGACGTTGAATTGGAAATCCCCATATGTTGCCGCTGGAACTCCTGGCGGCACCTTAAAGCGAATTCGACATATTTTACGTCAACATAGCTGTTTTCCTGGATGTTCATGGTGAAACCTTCCATGAAATTTGAGTATAACCCCCTGCAGGTTGGCCCTCTAGCAGCATTTCAAGGCGAAACAAGGTGAATTTGAAGTGGCCATGGTCATTTCTTTTATTTTTCTGAAATAGACAGATTCCAATGGCAAATTAAAGTTCAACGAAGTTTCCACGAACACTTCCAACGAAAATGCCAGGTGCATTTGAAGGTTTCACGAACATGCCAACATTTAAATCGGAAAAACGGACGTAGAAAACCCAATTTGTTAGTCACAGTCGTATTATCATTAGTAGTAGTGATAGCAATCGAAGTAGAAGTACAAATAGTAGTCGTGAATTGTGGAAGTAGTATTAATAGTAATAGTAAGAGTAGGGGTAGCAGTAGCAGTAGCAGTAGTAGTAGTAGTAGTAGTAGTAGTAGTAGTAGTAGCAGCAATACCAGTAGTATTAGTAGTAGTAGTCGTAGTAGTCGTAGTAGCAGTAGTATGTTTACTGTTACTATTATTAATAGTAGTGGTAGTACTAGTACTAGTAGTAGCAGTAGTAGTAGTAGTAGTAGTAGTAGTGGTGGTAGTAGTAGTAGCAGTAGTCGAGTAGTACAGTAGACTAGTAGTAGTAGTAGTAGTAGTAGTAGTAGTATATACGTAAGTAAGTATTCGTAAGTCAGTAGTATAGAAGACGAAGTAGATTAGAGTAGTAAGTAGTAGTAGTAGTAGTAAGTAGAAAAAAGGATAGTATCGTAGTAGCGTAGTAGTCAGTAGTATGTTAGTAGTAGTATAGCATAGTAGTAAGTAAAAAAGTAGTAGTAGGAGTAGTAGTAGCAGAAGTAGTAGTAGTAGAAGTAGTATATAGCAGTAGTAGTGTGGTATCGTAAGAGTAGGTGGAGTAGGAATTGGGGTAGGAGTTGGAATAGGAGTAGGAAGTAGGATAGGAATGGAGTAGTGGTAGTAGTATTATCGCAGTAGTAGTGGTAGTAAGTTGTAGTCGTAGTCGTAGTAGTAGTAGTAGTAGTAGATAGTAGTATAGTAAGTAGTCGTCGAAGGAGTAAGTAGTAGTAGTAGAAGTAGTAGTCGTCGTAGGAAGGAGGAAGTAGGAAATAGTATGTAGTAGTATGTAAGTAAAAAGTAGTAGTAGTAGTAGTAGTAGTAGTAGTAGTAGTGGTAGCAATAGGAGTAGAGGTAGTGGCAGTAGTAGTAGTGGGAGCAGGAGTATGAGTAGGTAGTAGTAGAAATCGTAGCAGTTGTAGAAGTAGATTTGGTAGTAGTAGTAGTAGTAGTTGTTGCTGTTGTTGCTGGAGTTGTGGTTGTCGCAAGAGCAGTCATAGTAGCAGTAGTAGTTGTTATTGTTTAGCTATTGTTTGTTGTAGTTGTTGCATTTGTTCTGCTTGTAGCAGTGGCAGTAGTGACTGTACGTGTACTGTTATCCTTGTTGCTCTTGTATTTGTGGAGGTAGTAGTAGTGGTGGTAGGCGTAGTTGTTGCTGTTACTGTGTTGCACTTGAGCGATTTCATTCACCTCCTTTTTCTTCTGGTTGTTGCTGCATTGCCTGGGCCCTGCTTCAAGAAGCGCCACATTGGTCCCAAGAAACCACCTGCGCGACCCAAGACCGTCGTTCAGAGACGTCCGCGTGGCCCCAAGACGTCCGAAGACGGCCAAAGACATCCCAAAATGCGCCAAGAAATGCCCCAAGAGAAACTCCAAAAATCCGTTGAGGCGGAAAATGGCGGCAGCCTATTCGAATGAGAACCCTGCAGGCGGAGAACGGCGGCAGCCCATTCGAATGAGAACCCTACGGGCGGGGAACGGCGTAAGCCTATCTATCTCATGAGAGAAGCGATTGACAAACATTCAATGAAGCAGCTTAGTCGAAAAAGAAACACAGGCCTCTGCCGGTTGCTTCCCTCGGGCCGCGCCGCCGAAGACGGGTGAGGACAAGGGCAGGGCGGGTGGAGGAGGAGAAGGAACGGCAGGGAGATCAAGGGGACGACGCGGAGGAGGAACAGAGACGGGCAAGAGAAGGGGGAGGGCGAAGATCATATTATGCGAACCCAGCGTTTGGCTCAACAACAAGAGTGATGAATTATGCAACGATGCAGCTATCGAACGCCTAGGCGGCTGCGTACCTGTCCTTCAAATCTGTGCTCTGCGCGAGCCCCACCGATGGGAGCAGGGCTACGAAAATGCGCTCGAGCACGTTCTGGGACATAGCGTTGCCCAGGGCTCGCCCCATGGCAACTTGAGACATGCTGACCTTAATCACGCTGGGGTCCATGCCCTGAATCCTCATAAGCTCGGCCTGGTTCATCCGGCGACGCCGGAAAGCAAGCCACGCGCCTGAACTCGCGCCGCGAGACGCCGTCAGACAGGGCGCCATGCCCTCTTTGAAACTGAGGTCAGTCGAGTCGATGTCAGCCGCGACCTCGTTCTTCATAGAGAGCTTGATGCCGCGATCTTTGATCTTGGCCTCAAGCTCTGCAACCTTGCCAGGAAACGCACGCTTAAAAAAACGAAGGAGGAGTGGGGTAGGAGGGAATGGAGAGAGAAGAAAAGAGGGGGGATGAGTGCGGGAAGAGGGAATGGAGAGAGAAGAGAAGAGGGAAGCTGGGATAAGCTTGCATCTTCTCCTGCTTACCTGATTCTTGTTGTGAGCCGCTGTGGGCTGGCCGTCGATGATGCGTTTAGGATCCAGGATAGTGGCCAAGGGCGGGGTGCTCGTCAGATCCTCCCGGGGGAAGGGAGAGGAGGGGCAATCCAAAACGCAGATCCCCCACCTTCCTCCTCCGTCTCCTCCTCCTCCTCCTCCTCCTCCTCCTCGAGCTCCTCCTCCTCTTCCTCTTCAGGCTACTCCATAAATATTGGCATCCTGGGGAAGGCGTCCCGGGGACCGATGGGGGCGTTTGTTTTCTCAACCGCATTGCGTCCTCTGGGAATTGGAACTCGTTCAAGGTACGAGAGCAAAGAGTCCCCACAATATATACCCTCTGTCTCTGGTGTGGCACCCCGTGCTTCTGAGTGTACATGAACTCCCAGTGCACGTTGCACAACTTCTCACCACCAGATTTCATCCCACGCAATTTCTGCAAGATCCACTCGAAATATTCTGTGTGGCGGTTGACGAGGCCACGGACGTTCTCTAGTACATAGCAGACTGGCTTCTTGGTACGTATGTATGCAACGATATCTTCGATTACCGTCCCGCGGGAATCAGCCCCCCCTAAATTGAGACCCCCGTCAGAAAATGGTTGGCAAGGGAAGCCAGCTGTGAATATGTCCGCGTGCCAGCTCAGGCCCAAGCTCTTGAAATTTCCCCGGGAGGGGGGAAAAGAGAGACGAGAGGGAGAAGGAGGAGGTGGAGAAGGAGGAGGAGGAGCCAGAGGAGGAGGAGGAGGAGGAATATGCGAGGCGGATCAGGAGGGGGAGGAGGAGAAGGAGGAAGGTGGAGGATGAGGCGGCGGTGAAGCAGAGCTTTCATATGGACATGGGGGGCGTACTTTGTGAAGAGGTCGTCGGACGACTCATGCACAATTGCTGGGCGCTCGGGGAAATTCTCCTTCAGATGCTGCCTCAAGGTGGCGTTTTGCTCGCAGAAAAACAAAGGCTTTGTGGACAGACCCAACGCGCGCAACGCCATCTCATCGGTGCCGAGGCCGCTGCAACAGCTCCCAGTGAGGATCGTTTGCTTCTTGGCTGGCGTTTTCATGACTCCCTTGTTTTTTTTTTTTTTTTTTTTTTTTTCTTCTCCAAGCTCTTTGTCATGGCCCTGGCTGGCTTTTTCAAGACCACCTTCTGGAGGATCTTCTTGCTGACCGTTTTTTTCATGGCTGAAGGTTTCGTTCCGTCTGCCAGAGCTTCCGGAAATTCATCCCAATCGAGGTCCATTGCGCGGGCCGTCTCAAAACTAAGAGTGAATTGACTCAAGAAATGCTTGAAGCCTCCACGCCACTAGACGGAGAGAGTGAGTGGCAACAAAAATTGCGGAGGTGGAGCCCGGAAGTTGGAGGAGACAAGAGGAAGGCAGGGTGAGAAGGGAGGGGGGGTCAAGGAGGAAGAGGAGAGGAGAAAAGGATAGGAGGAGGAGGACATAATATGAAAGAGGAGAGGGGGCGGCCTGACTGGCGTCGCCGTCGCCCTTGTCTGAGGGAGATGATTTAAGAGGCGAGGGGGCAGCAGCAGCATGGGCAGCATCATCAGCAGCAGCATCAGCCAGCCCCGCCATGATTGCTTACTGTGCCTTGACATGCTCAACTTGCCTGCTTGCCTTGCTCGACTGTGCTTACTCGACTGTGCTTACTGCGCATTGGTGACCTTTCCTTGCTTGTCCTGCCTTCCCTTGCCTTGCTCATCTGACCTTTGTTGATTCATGCTCGCCCTGCCATGCCCATGATGTCGTTGTGGTGGCGATGGCGCGGTGACGATGGCAGATATAATTAGCGATGGTTGTTAGTCGAGGTGACGATGACAATGTGACGGCGATAGTGATGGCGACGTCGACGTTTGACATCTGGCATCTTCAACTACATTAGGTATCAACCCAGGCCTGCCAAACGGCATGAGGCACCTGGGCGAGAACGCACAGTGGGGCTCAGGCCCGCCGCTGCTGCCGCTCCCGGGGGCTTGGCGGCACACCGTACGTACATCAGCGCGCTGGCACGCGCGTGTTGCAGCGTGCATACTTGATGAGCGTTGAGGTCGAAGTCGTCATCATCAATCGTCGTCGTTTGCTGCGCGATGTCATGCACGCGTACTACTAGGCGAGGGGCATGCGGCCTGCGACGCCCATTCGAGCAGAGAGGACAGAGGGACGTCTGACAATGGCGTCGCTCACCAGATTCCAGGTGCCCCCGTGGCCCTCACGGCCTCAGGAGATGGCCCAGGAGAGGAGCAGGAGGAGGAGGAGGAGGAGGAGGAGGAGATGGCTGTGGAGGAGGGGAGAAGCGCTGCTACTCGCGAAGCAAGGGAGACAGGCCGCACGCCAAACCTCCTTCAAAAAATCAAACTCCAGCGCGCAGAGCTGCTGGACCTTGCGTTCCCAACTAGGGACGCGCAGAGCTGCTGATCACTCACTCCTCTTCCTCGGGATCGTCATCATCCTCAGAGTCCTCTTCTTCGGACTCTTCCCCCTCCTGGTCGACGACGTCCGCTTCTCCGGAGCCAGCCGCCTTGAGCGATTTCAGTAGTTTCTTCCTCTCCTCTTTCGTCATCTTGCCCTTGGAAGAATCCGCCTTGGCCTTGGCCTTGGCCTTGGGCTTGGCCTTAGCCTTGGCAACGGGATTGGGGTCCACAGAGTCTTCTTTCTTGCGCTTCCTGCTCCCTGGCTTCGCCACAAGAGCCGCCAGCGTCGGCTCGTACAAATCCCCCTCTTCCTGGAAGAGCTCGAAGACCCTGGAACCAAGGCGCTTAACTAGCTCTTCCTGGGCGAATTCCGTGAACACCACCACGCAGATCGGGATGCGCTTCCTGATGCAAACGAGCGGGAGGATCTCATCCAGGCCTGTGAGCATCAGCACCTTCTTGGCTTTGAAGGAATGGCAAATCTCCTCCCACAGCGAGCTGCTGCGGGCGTGCCAATTCACCGGCTCAAGGTCTGAAGCTGGACCAAATTGCGGCGGAGCCTCGGGATCGTCGGTAGGGCCGCCAATTCGCACTCTGCATGCACCAAACATCTGATCCTTCATCTCATCGGTCACCATCCACAGGGTCTCCCACGCCGGAAGGGCGACCGGGCTGATGACATTGCCACGCGCGGTGCCTTGGAAGTGCAGGCGGGGCTTGTCCTCGACTCCCGGGAAGCCAGATGAGGTCACCACGTGCAAGAACTCCATTTGGGATACCACTCCCCTCTGCTTGGACTTCCTGTTCTTCACAGATTGCTCCTCGTGTACGATGTAGAAGGTAGTCGTGTCACGGGTGCACGCTCTCCCGTCTTCCTTGCTCAGCGTGTTGACCAGCGTGGCCTGGTTCCCATGGCGACCACCATCAAAGAATAAATACAGGTCGTTGGGATTGATCGCGCCCCTGTTCCCGCGACCAATGAGAGCGCCTCTCACGCATGTGCGGATGTGTTCTTGACGGAGGGGTGCGATGCGAATGCGCGGGTGCGTCGTCGGTTCCCCACTGGAAAAAAAAAAAAAAAAAAAAAAAAAAAAAAAAAAAAAAAAAAAATAAAAAAAAAAAAAAAAAAAAACTAAAAAAAAAAAAAAAAAAAAAAAATAAGAAAAAAAAAAAAAAAAAAAAAAAAAAAAAAAAAAAAAAAAAAAAAAAAAAGGAAGCATTGCGCAGTCGAGTGTCCGACGTTGAGGCAGTGCTCGTCGTCTTTCATGGTGGTCTGCCCGGCCGACCACTCCGTCTTGATGTGCTCGCCGAGCTGGTTCTCGGTGGCCGGGAGGACGACGAATTTCACCCACTCGCGCACCTTGCGCTCGGCGAAAGTCTTCCAACTCGGGAGCTTTCCATCCGGGTCGTCAATGACAGTGCCGTCGCCCCGCTTGAAGGTGCCATCGTCATTGGCATCGTCGTAGATGGCAGATGATTTGGCCGCGTCCTTCGACGTCGAACCAGCACTGGCTCCTGCACCGCCCTCGGCTGGCTTCTCGTGCAGCTCGTCTTGCCTCTTGTCGGTGATCTTCTGGAGAGCCTCCTTGAACGGCGACGATTCCATCGTCGCTGCCACGGACCTTGAAGTGCGGCAGCTGTGCTTCAAGTGGACGTCATTCTCAACGCCGAACACGGTTTTCTAGGGGGACCAAAAAACGGTCAGAGGGGGGAGGAGGAGGAGGAGGAGGAGGAGGAGGAAGAGGAGGAGGAGGAGGAGGAGGAGGAGCATGAGGAGAAGCAGCAGGAGAAGCAGCAGGACAGGGGGGGGGGGGGAAACGATAGATGGAGGAGGACCAGGGGAGGCGAGGAGGAGCAAGGGGAGCAGGAGGATGAGAGGAGGAGGGCGAGGAGGAGGAGAAGGGGGGGAGGAGGAGGAGGAGGAGGAGGAGGAGGAGGAATGAGCGGAGGAGGAGGAGGAGGAGGGTGGAGGAGGTGGAGGAGGAGGAGGAGGAGAGGAGGAGGAGGATAGGGGGAAGGAAGGAGGTGGAGGAGGAGGACGAGGAGGAGGGTCCTAGAGGAGGGAGCAGGGGCGACTAAGAAAGGTTGCGTTCTCCCCCCTTCCGAGGTCACAACAACAGGGGCCCTGGGGGGCCTTCCAAGTAGAGCGAGGCGCTTCGACCGCGCAGGACAGGGGCGCATTTCAGAGCCGCTCTGGAGGAACCAGGGAGATCCACCTAATCCCACCAGCCCTCTGGGCGTCGATGGTTTAGAGCGTTTCCTCTTCACCTTTCCCTCTTCCCCTTGGGTGAGGGTTTTAACCCTTCCCCTGCCCCCTCCCCGTGGACCTGGACGGGAGGGGCGGGGAGGTGTCAGGGGGTAGTTTTTCGCCCAAGTTGGCTCCAAGGGAGCCGCAGAGAGCCTAAGATAGCCTCCAAGATGGCTCGATATATCGTGAGATATTTCAATATGGCCCCGAAGATGCTAGAAGACGCTCAAAGACCGCCCCAAGATGGCTCCAAGTGTCCAAAAGAGCTCCCCAAGGATGCCCCCCAAGAGGCCAAAACGCTTCAAAACCATGTGGAAACCAATTCCCAACCATCCTGTGGTGTTGTCTCCTCGTTCTGTCAGAGGCGGTCCCCCGTGTTCCTCCTCCTCCCCTGCCCCTCCTCCCATCCTGTCATCATCATCACCATCACCATCGTCATCATCATCATCGTCATCATCATCGTCATCATCATCAGCATCATCATCATCATCATCATCATCATCATCATCATCGTCATCATCATCATCATCATCATCATCATTACTGTCATCATCATCATCAACACCATCATCATCATCATCATCATCATCATCATCATCATCATCATCATCACCTCCCTTCCGCGTACCCCACACTCATTTCGGCGCACCCCTCACACGTTTCGTGGCCCCATAGGAGCTCCGCCGAAGGCCCCAGAGGCTGAGTACCGCATGCGTCCCCCGCACTCAGTTTGGCGCACCTCGAGCAGGTTTCGTGGCCCCATAT